ATATATATATGATTTTTTTAATCCTAAAAATAAAAATACAGTTTAACTAAAAGCCCCAAAATATGTAATCTATGATGTCATCCATTGAAACAATATGTCATACATGTACATTTAATGTTAAAACTTCTGCATGGCAAGCATTTTTTGTCCCTATATTCATATCAGTGTCTTCTGTTCTTGCTTTTGCAAGATGCTTTTAAATGTATTTATATTTTGTAACAAGTTCACTAGCTTTCTCTATGAAATGCAGATAGTTATGATCACTCCAGGAGGAGACAAACAGAACATTTCTTAAATCGTTTCATTATGTTACTTGTCACCGAATATTACATCAACCCAACTTTTTATTGTAAGGTCGTCACTTTATAATGCACAATCAGATGTACTCATTAATGAAAGTATTAGCATCAGTGCAAGTGAATGTTGATCATAAAGTACAGCAAATATCTGACATTCATAATGTCACTCATGAGTTCAGATGTCAGTAGTTAATCCGTTTTGCACAGTCGACTCCCTCCAGTTGAGGGAAAATTGTCAAGTTGGGAAACACGGAGAGCGACCAAAATGCACTGTGACTCGTGGCATGATTAGAGTGCACTGAACAGCCTTCCTCTTCCTCTTCATCTGATGGAAGAGCTGCGAAACCAGACCATTGATGATGCTGTTAGTACAAACCATGTGTCTGTTGAGCACCATTTGCTGTTCAGCTTGCTCTGACACGTTTGGAAACACAGTATGCTTGGCTCCAATGTGCCTTGTCATTTTTTAGACTTGTAGTTTTCCTTTTTTCTTCTTTTTTAACCTAGTGTTTTCACCCTTGATAGTTCATCCATAAGTATTTGTGATTTTTAAACACATCAGAGTCATCAAATTAGGTTTTTACTAATGTAAGCATATATATATAATCTGCTGTTAAACATTGTTCTGGTTTTTAAACACTCCAGAATACATTTTTAGGTAAAAAACCTACATAGTTGCTGTTCACCTCTAATCACCTATATGATTTGTCACTTTTTAGACATCAAATACCTGTAAATGAGTTTTTTTTCACTTTTGAGTGGAGTTTGAGTGTGTGCGTGTGATATTTGACCAGCGATACAACAGGTCAAATGAATTTCTGTTTCAACACCAGCATCCTGAATACATATTCACCCTCACAGCATTCCATACGGGAGCATCTTGTGTGTGTGTTTGAGGTTTTGTACACATCAGAAAGACACGAGTGTGTGTGTGTGTGTTTCAGATCATATGCATGTTCACGTGAACTCTCAGAACGAGCGTGTCCCACTGAAATCACTGATGTGTGTTGTGTGGAATTGTTGAAGAAACAAATATTTTAAAGCCTATGGAGAGTTTGGTGATTTTCCGCTGTAACTGTAAATAATTAATGTAAAATAGGTGAATTTTATGTCTAAGACATTGTAGTTTTATAGTGTGATTTTAATAGCTGTACCATTTTCATCTGTTTTTATAATGTAGAATATATTTCTTTCCTTTGATGCACTATCATGGTAGTCAATACTGTAAGACAATGAAAACATCTTACCGTTTTTTTTGTTTGTTTACCATACTGTATTTATTAGATCACCTAATTTATTTAGTTTTTTGCTTTCAGTTTTACTTCTGTTATGGAAATAAAATTGTTAGAAAAAAATAGTGTTTGTGAATGAATTGAGGATCAGCGTTCGGGTGGTTTCCAACAAGTGGTTCTGATTAATCAAACACACCTGATTCAACTTAATAGATAAAACTCCAGCAACTGAAACTGGTGTTATTTATTAGAAGACCTATAATAACCACTGCTTTAGCTTAGAGCTGCAGAAATCACGACCCTCAAGAAAAGTAAGTTGAACAGTTTAATTTCTAATTCAGCAAAGCAAATGAACCCTGGCAGTGTTGTGCAGTGAAGTTTTGGCCTTTCATAACAAAGCATTTGTGAGGGTGTGGTGAAATGACTCTGGTCAGTCATAGATAAATGAAACCGGATTCTTCTCATTGTGTTTGATATGTATAGATGTGTCCACACTAGGGAATGCAGAAGCAAAACAACTGGGTAAAAAATATTACCACCCTCTTTATTTATTAGTATTAAATACATGCAAGTGATAGAGACACGTATATGTGTGAAGTCACATACAGCAGTCTGAGATGCATGTGAAAAAAAAGTGTTTTCTATGCTTTTTTGCATGTAGAAAAGCATAGCTGGTAGAATTTGAAGTCAAATTCAAATTGAGCCAGGTCTAAAAAATAAGTAGTTGCTGAATTGTCAGTGTATAAACCATGCAAATGATTTGGATGAACTTTAGCCACGAATTATTAAATGAAGCATGGAAAGATCAGTGCAATGCTATACATGCAGATCTGCATGAAAATGTCTTACGTGTACAACTCGTGCATTTATATTAGCATTCACACAGTATTATGTACCATCTCAAATTTATTTAAAAAAAAAATCCTATTTCTTACAAAATATCAATAATGTGACAGAAACTTCATGTAAACTTGCCAAATTAACATCGAAGCTCTATTAAGCTCGATGAGAAAGGATGCCAAAATAAATCAAATAAGACAAAGCAAATATGTATACCTTTTAAGTGTGCATTTGAAAAACTGCATCATTAAGCACATATATACAAATAGAGGACAACAGAACTATATAATCTGGGATGTTCAAGAGCACTTTGGTTTGAAAACCCAAAACCTGAGTTTGACTCCAGTCCTCCCCATCCCGCAGAGGAGACGTACACCATCTAGTACCTGTCTATACTCCTCAGCCAGGGTGGAAAATAATAACATCTCAAGAGTGCAATCAGAACTGCTGCTCAAAGAACACAGCATCGTTACAAAAGGACATACCTAAACAATAAACTATTAGAAGCTTTTAAGAGGTATATGGTTCAATGATGACGTGAATAAACACATTTCAGAACCATCTATCGTTGCAAAACACATACTGAGGATAAAGCAAATGTAAAAGGCAGAGCAATACAACACAAATGCTGCTTTATGGTAATTCCAGCTAAGCATGACACTTTTTGTCCTTCATTTGGTTTTATAAACCATATTTACTGTTACACACAATATAAGCCTGTCCTTCATATGAAAATAAATTCAATAAATCACAAAAGTTAATTCAAAACTGTATAAACAACTAAAAAATGTACACCTTTTCATCAAAACTTTCCTATCAGCACTTGAAAATCAATGTTTGAGGAATGCAAAACTGAAAGATTTTTTTGAGAGGGCAAACGATCTACATTCTGATATCAGTCGGACGTTTGTGTGCGCTTTTTTGGTATTCGTACATTAGGAAGCTGTCTGATTCATTCTTTAAGAGTCCAGTGCCTTTGAGCTTTACATTTTTTTTTTTTGCATAGAGTAAACCAAAGCTGAAGAATAATTTCAGATCCTCTTCCTCTCAGACGAATGAAGGTTCTCCGTGAACTCTGAAGCGATACACACAGGTGTACTCCAGGTGACCCCAGTTGCTCAAGATCCTCAGCTCTGTCGTGCTATAGATCTCTGACGCTTCCTACAGCCAAGAAAACACAAACTATTTTACTAGAATTTCCACAAGATCATATCTAGGTCATACCTTGGTAGCCCAGAAATATATATATTTTTAATAAATGTATAATTAATTTATATGTGTATATATAAACTATATTTTACATAGAAAAAATTACGCCTATATTGGTAACATGATTTTTTTTGCCCTCAATTATTATTATTATTATTATTATTATTATTGATGTGTCCAGACGTTTTATTAAATTATTTGATTTAAATCAGTGTAAATAAACACTACTGTTGAAAAATTTTGGGTCGGTGAGATTTTTTTATTTGTGAAATTCATACTTTTATTCAATAAGGTTGCATTGATCCTAAGTGACAGAAATAAAATACTTTTATAATGTTACAAATTATTTAAGTTTGAAATAAATGCTGGTCTTTTGAACTTTCTATTCATCAAATAATCTTAAAAAATGTATCACGGCTTCCACAAAAATATTAAGCAGCACACCTGTTTTTAACACTAATAAAATGAATAAGAAATGTTTCTTGAGCAGCAAATCGGCATATTAGAACGATTTTTGAAGGATCATGTGACATGTCATACTGGAGTAACGATGTTGAAAATTCAGCTTTACAACCACAGTAATAAATGATATTTAAAATACATTCAAACTATTAAAAAGTTATTTTAAATTGAAATAATATTTCACAATATGACCGTTTTATTGCATGTTTGATAAAAAAAAAATGTCTAAACAGTAATGTAAATATTAAATACAGAAATACAACATGTACTACCATGATATGATGATGATAGATCATAAATAGTTTATTTGGACTCACCGCAAGCTTGAAAGTCTGAATGGGCTCTCCATCCTGGTCATACGTGAATGTACCAAGCAGCTTTCCATCTTCAGTCTCATCAGACATACCCTGAACACAGGACAGCCGAGGAATCTCAAAGCTGTTGCTTCATTGTTATGCAGATGATTAAAAAAACCCATTGAAATATCACATATCACAACTCACATAGACAGCAAAATCCTTCGGGGCGCTGTCAATGCGGCCCGTCGGTGAGAGCTCTTTGGGAAGGTGTTCGAGTGTCACATGGGTGATTCTTACTGGGTAAGACAGCGCGATTACCAGGAAACCCTGGGAGCCTCGGAATGCCCAGCACTTCCCAGGATACAGCTCCGGCTACAACACACACACACACACACACAGAAACTTAGAGAGTCAGATCTGTGTCTATGTGACAGTGTTTGTGTGAACTGTTACCTGTATAACAGTCCGAGGGCTTTCTGAATGATACCACAGAGGAATGCCAAATAAACTCAGACACGCAGATCTGGTCTTATACGTCTCTGAGCAACGGGTGTTGAGCACACTGGCACCTGCACAAACACACACACACACACACACACACTTAGTCATGTCCGGTAATGTTACATATATACACTACTGTTCAAAAGTACGATTTTTGAAATGTTTTTGAAAGAAGGCTGCATTAATTGATCAATGGAAAAGTACAGTAATATTGTGAAATATTATTACAATTTAAAATAATTGTTTTCTATTGTAAATGTAATTTATTCCTGTGATACAAAGCTGCATTTTCAGCATCATTACTCCAGTCTTCAGTGTCACATGATCCTTCAGAAATCAGTCTAATATTCTGATTTGAGCTCAAGAAACATTTCGTATTATTATCAATGTTGAAAACAGCTGTGCTGCTTTTTTTTTTTTTATCTCTGTATATATTTACTGCACACACACACACACACACATATATATATATATATATATATATATATATACACAAGGGAAATTAGTACCAGAAGATTCCAAGGCATAGTCCGCCAATCCAATCCCATCCGCCCTGTACAGACTAACTGCCCTGTGGACAATTTCTTTCACATCCTGTTACATATTTAAAAAAAAAAATCTCATTAAAAGGCATCATGATCCTGATGTGTACTTCAAAATAAGACTCTTTTTTTTACTATACTAATTCTACATTTGTCATCCTATTACACACAGACACACACTTGTATAGTGACCGCTCCGGCTCCTTCCTGTTGCAGCGTCTCTCCCACAGTCCTCCAGACGTCTCTCCTGCTCTCTTTCTCATTCACTAGTTTGTCTAGTATCCCTTTCTCCAGATCCTCCAGCGCCCTCTGCAGCTCAGGACGGAGCACTATGGTCGATTCCAATGAGCTTGGATCTTTCAGGAGTTTTATTAGCCAGTCGGATAGCTCTGCTCTCAGCTGCAGAGGAAATGACATCATTAGCTGAATAATAAGTAACTGCATTCATCACATCAAAGGAATTTAAATGCGCTAAAAGCACCCTTACGTTAGTGTTGAGAGTGTCTTGTGCATCAACTCTTTCCTTGACGAGGTCTTGGGCCGACTGCAGGTTTGAGATGCTGGACTTCAGATTAGAAATCTGCTGCTCATGTTCAGACTCGGCACTAATGAATATTAAACATATTTATTTTATCACTGCATAAATATGCAACGTGCAAAGAAGATTTAACAAACTCCACAAAATCAAAGCAAAAAAACTGATAAGACACTAACTTCCTCATCTGATCATTCATAGACTTCAGATCAGTTTGCATCATCTAGGAGACAAGCGCACAGATACATAAGTAGGTGGATGACATCATTTCCTGTTTTGCGCTTTGTTGCTATGACAGAAGAAACAGAGGTGGTAGAAAGGAAGAGGGAACGTTTCGTTTCCTCACCTCAGATTTGACCTTCTGTCTCATGCTCTCCATCTTCAGCAGTTCGATGTCTTTCTGAGAAAACAGACAGACAAAGAGAAAGAAATTGGGACACTTCCTCTTCAAAAGACACAGACAAACATGACTGAGATTAGATTTTAATTACCAAGAGGCTCGCCTCCCTATCATGCAAGCTGACGATCTCTTCCTTCAAGTTAGACAGGCTAGCATGCTGGAGATGATCCTTTAGAGCAAAAAGTGCATTTAATAAAATAATTACAGCAATTTAAGAGAAATATACAATAACTGAGTATGAAACGGGACCTTTCTGAGGTCTAATTAACTTGGAGACAATCTACTCACAAAAGTTTCTTTCACAGGTCTATCTGTGTGTTTAACAGACGGAGTCTTGGAAACAACCTCATGAGGAGGAGAACGAGAAGCAAACGGGAACCAGTACCATATTCCTGCAACACAATATTAGGTAGTTGCATATTAATGTTTATTACTCAATGAGAAATATTCAGGCATGAACATGCATACGCATTTTTACAGCTATATGTACTGTGTGTAGTCTTAAAGGTTCAAAGTGGGTTATTTTGAAATACCAAGATTTCGCTTTTGATATTTTGGAAGAGTCACTATCTGCTGTCTCACCAAAAATGAGAAAGATGAGAAGGAGGACCAGTACAACGGTCTTTCTCATATCTGATGTGCATCTACAGAGAGGGAAAGAGGAAATGTGTAATCATGTATAAAAAGAAATGTTCTTCAATGGTTCTTCCACATTAACAGAAATAAGTTTGAGTGCGTCTAGAAAACAATTTAATTCACTTAATTTATTTAAGTTTTTAATAATTTCCAGAACTGGAAATCACAATTCTCTGCTATTCTGAAGTCTGTAACTCTGTAAAACATTTTGAGATTGTTTTTTGTTGTTTTATCTAGACAATAAAAAGTTTCTTATAAAGGTTCTAGTTTAAGTGCATGAAAGTTGCAGTGAACTATTACTTAACTATCATGCATATTCTTAAGGCCACACATTTGTAATTACGACACACACACACACACACACACACACACACACACAGAACACTGTACCTGCTGAGCAGAAATACATTGATCAGAGACAGTCGAGAGGTCAGGCTGTACCATGAACTTCCCAGCCACCAGTAGAACATAACCAGAGCCTGAGCTGCAACACACACATGAGCACATGACTACTGTAGGAAAAAAGCCTGATTGTTCATGTTAGTGGGGTGAAGAGAGAGTTTATACATTTAATACCTGGAGAATGAAACACATCCCACACGACAAATTGTGGTTCAGCTACAGACTGGGCAGAACCTGGAGAAAAGAGAAAACAAGAGTAGATGTTTTTCAACCTTCTTTGCTTGAGAGGAATATCCAGAGGAGAATCCCTGAGTAGCAAAGGGCATGCCTGAAAAACAGAGACACTAAAAATAAATGTTTATATGAAATGTTTATTATATATTTTAGATTTTTGTTATTTTATATTACAAAATGTAATTATATATATATATATATATATATATAATTACACACACATACATATTAATAATATTAATATACATCATTTTTTAAAGTTAGCTTTTATTTTAGATTTCATCTAATTTTAGTTTAATTTCTAGTAATTTTATAATGTTCTATTGTCATTATTTTAGTTTTTTATATATATAACTATTTATTTTCAGTTTTTGTTAATTTCCAGTCAGTAATTTTAGTGCTTCAACTGAACCTTTTTCAGTTAATTGCCAAGGCAACATTTCATCAAATGTTTTTATTTCATTTCATTTTTTATTATTTTATTTCAGCTTTTATCTCAATTAACAAAAAAATGTTTTAAAAGTATTTGTTTTAGTTAACGATAATAACCCTGATTAAATGTTCCCTCTTTATTATTACATTTACTCATTACATCCTTACTGACTGCTCACAGGAAAACAAGAAAACATTGTGAATCAGATCACCAAGATGAAAAACACGACAATAAACATGACATTTAATAAGACGCTGTCCACAGCTTGTTGTTGCAGTCACAAAGTGTAGTCAGATACTGATCTTTGTGTAATTCCTAATCTCAAACGGCAGGCTCATCCCGTGCAGGGTGACGGAGCTTTTAGCAGCAGATTATGTGAAGGAGAACACGTGGAGCAAATTCCCAAACCACGGACCTCCAGTTCCCCTTCAATCAGTTACATTAAGTCCCTTTAGTTGGATAATCTCAACAACAGAATGCACTTTACACTTTATTAGCTAGGAATCCACCCTTCTGTGCAGATGGAGAAATACAAACAAACACTCATTTGACGCTCTTGTTTGTTTTAATACAACATTCATGGTTTGTAATGAAAGCACCTATTCTTTTTTCCATACAAATCCTTAATCCTGATTGATTGAGCTAATACTCTCAAGCTGCATTAAAACATGCCTGCACATTTACAAACTACTCAATGGTCAATGTTGGAGGAAAACACTATGAGACAAGATGCAAAGTTTGACCAAGTTTAATTGGCAATTCGAATGTATCAGTATCTCTGTCAAAACCTATACATTTCAAATAAGTAACAGATGCTTTCAATGACGCAATATATAAACTGATGAACTGATGATTGAGAACTGAAGTGTTATTTACACCAACTTTAGAGGCTGTTTGATGCAACACGTCCAGTGCTTTAAAACTAAATCCCCATCTTCAGCTAATAATCCCTCTAACAGCTATTTTAAACTGACAGTGTTGTCTTTCAGATCAGCTGTGTTCATAAAATTCATCATCTCATTTATTTCTTGATCTTTTTTGTTATACATGATTAAGTGATTTAATGTCAAATACATGATTTAAATACAATTTTAATACAACTTTTCTATTATTAAAGGGGTCATATGATGCGATTTCAATTTTTTCTTTCTCTTTGGAGTGTTACAACTCTTGGTGCATAAAGAAGATCTGTAAAGTTGCAAACACTAAAGTCTCAAATCCAAAGAGATATTCTTTATAAAAGTTAAGAGTCAACCACGCCTACCTAAAACGGCTCGTTCTAACACGCCCCCACATGTCTACGTCACTATCTGGGAAGATTTGCATAACGCCGCCGCCGCCATGTTGTGAAGGCGCTGTGTGATTCGTTGTGAAAGCCAAACTACTTTGTTTGGCCTCCAAAAGAGGACGATATCCGCTTCGTCATGCCTGAAGCTGATCTGTGCTGGTCGCTGAGGAAATACTTCAACTTCGCGCTGTGGATCGCCGGATCGGCTTTCACCGTGGACGAAGCGGAGTCCAGCCCGGGGTCGTCACATGTGGTTGCCGCAAGCCCGCCCGCCGCCGCTCACTCTAGCCGGCCTCCGCTCACTCAAGGCCGCAGTGTGTGACGCTGTGTTTTGTTGTGAAAGCGACACTACTTTGTTTGGCCTTCCAAAAGAGGACGATATCCGCTTCGTCATGCCTAGAGCTGATCCGTGCATAAATGTTTACCTATGCATAAATTAAAAAAATTTAAATAAATAAAATAAATAAATAAATAAAATAAAATACAGACTATACGGATGCTTCACATAATACTGTACATGTGCAAAGAGAAACATCGTAAGTCAAGCAGCTGGCTGGGGAACAGTGCAGATGATTTGTAGTGCATGAGCATGTAAACACACCTATTACGGAGTCTTTTGTGGGATTATGTACACAAAGCAGTGTGTGTTAAACCGCATAAACACATTTCATTACACCAAATACACAAAATAATGTTCTTTTTAGCAGCATCATATGACCCCTTTAACGTTATTTATTTATTTTTTATCCAAAATGTAACTGGTAAGAGAACTGTTTGGAAACAATATTGTGTATAGTCTGTATTATTATTTTGTACAAAGTATTATTGTTTTGTACACTTTATTCAAGGTGAAAGGACTACTAATATACTACAGATGTTCATGTTATGGCCAACAACAAATGTGACCCTGGACCATAAAACCAGTCATAAGTAACACAGGTATATTTGTAGCAATAGCCAAAAATACACTGTATGGGGCAAAATTATCGATTTTTCTTTTATGCCAAAAATCATTAGGATATTAAGTAAAGATCATGTTCCATGAGGATATTTTATAAATTTCCTACCATAAATATATCAAAACTTGATTTTTGTTTAGTAATATGCATTGCTAAGAACTTAATTTGGACAACTTTAAAAGTGATTTTCTCAGTATTTTGATTTTGTTTGTTTTGCACCCTCATATTTTCAAATAGCTGTATCTCAGCCAAATATTGTCTGATCATAACAAACCATACATCAATGGAAAACTTATTTATACAACTTTCAGATATTGTATAAATCTCAATTTCAGAAAAATAATAACCCTTATGACTGGTTTTGTGGTCCAGGGTCACAAATATATTATTTTATATTATAATAATATTATATATTTACTCCATTATTTTAAATACTATTAACTAACATGCATAACCATGCAACCACAAGCAAGAAACATCACTTTATATACCACGGTAATGATCTGGAGTTCACAGAAGGGGGCAAAGTGAGTTTCCATTCTTACTTTGGCGGTTCTCTTGATATTTGCGCCAATTTTAACCACAAAGAAACGTTTCTTGTTAAAACGGGGTCATTTTGTTTCCTTCCCGACGTGGTGCAAATTAAATGTTTTCTCGGAGGGAACAGCACATAGTTCTGTGATGAATAATCACGAACAGACTCTCCAAATGAGAATACAACTACACATTATGTAAGTTAGCTATGCAGCCTTGGCGTGGAAAGGCGTTTATTTACTAATGTGACATGTCTATAAAACGCTCGCTCAGCATCATTTCTACAGCACGTAGCTGACTAGGCAACGCTGCTTTTGAAAATGTAAGTTAGCGTTCATACACACTCGTGGTCGTCTCACCTTCTCCGTGGGTCTCCAGGAAGACATGCGGTCCGTCAAAACCTGCCAAAGTGCGAACCGCTCATCCGAAACGGCTCCGCGATAACGGAATAGCGACAGAGACGTCGTTACACTCACGAGATACTCACTTCAATCACGTGGCTTATAACGGATTCTAACGCGCTACGACAAGATGCTTTGAGGACGGAAGGGCTCGGCTCTTTTGACAGTTGTCAGCTCAGCGGCTCCACCTCTCGCCGTCGTTTCTTTGGGGTTGTTTATAGAAAGAAAGATGATGTAGGCAGCGACCGCTACTGTCCTGCCACGCTGCGCCACCCAGTGGACTCACGTAGTTACGTAGAAGATCCAGCTCGTCAAACCAGACCTCTGTTTCACACCCTTCATTCACAACGTAATCCTTTATGTAACGGTTCTTCGTTGTTTGTTCAAACACTTATTTTAACTATGTTTTAAGCACTCACCTTCTGTCGAAAAGCTGACTTTACGTAACCGCAGCATATGTGAACGGTTTATGTGCGAAAATTCAGAAGTAAATAATAATAATCGTCACTTCATCTCACGTAACGAAATCTTATGTCGTCTTTGCGTGATTTTGCCAGTTTTGGTAAAATAATACGCCGTAAACACTTTTTAATATAGACTACATATATCTGAATAAAATAGTATATTGTTTTATAGTGTTATATTTGTTGTTTCATTGCTTTTACAAAACGAAATTTAATAGAAATTAATAAAATAACAATGAAATGCTTCGGATTCACCTTTGACCTTTTTGGTCTATATGTATCTCTTGAATATCTTTTTTTACTAAAAACTTTACTATAGTAAGCTATGTTCCTTTACACACACACACACACACACACACACACACACACACACGTGTTTGTGTTATACTACAGTATATTCCTTTATACATACGTTTCTGTGAATTGTGGGAACTTTTCATACACTTCTATTACTTTTATACTGACCAAACAATATTTTCTATCCCCTAACCCTAAACCTACCCCTTACAGAAAACCTGTTTGCATTGTTACACTTTCAGATAAACATCATTTACTATTTTTAATCATTTTTTTCCCACCGTGGGGACCGCAGACAAAAATAAAACATTTCAGGATTTACTATCCTTGTGGGGACATTTGGTCCCCACAATGTAGCATAAACAAGTACACACACACACACACACACACACACACACACACATGCATATAAAACATTACTTTAGGCCTACTACCGTATATTCCTTTATATATATAAGGAATAAAGTAATGTTTTATAATTATATTTAAAAAAAATCCTATTTATCACAGTTTCCAAAAAACCGTACACCTGCTTTCAACACTGATAATAATAAGTAAATATTTAGTGAGGATCAGTATATTAATTTGAATAATTTCTGAAGGATCATTTGACTCTGAACACTGGAGTAATGATGCTGAAAATTCATTGTTATCATCATAGGAATAAATTACATTTTAAAATATATTAACATATAACGCATTTATTTTTAATTGTTAT